TAATAAATTGTCCATGTGGTGAGGGATTAAGAATACGGAGTGTCACCACCCCTATTCGTCCCGTGGGTGTCGTAGGATTTCTCCCTTAGTCGGCACTAAGGGCGCAATCTACGCAGGGCAACGGCACTGCAAAGAGAAGGAAAACTTGATGCAAACCCTGTACTAACCCGCCTGTCCAACGTGGTATAGTAGGGCAAAACCACCTTTCTAAGTAGAGGCATATGTCCAGCAGTGGACTATAAAATGTTGATAATGAATAATAAATTGGCAACGTCGAAAAGAAAACGAGATCAGTCTCTCTATTCTCGTTTTATTTTTAAGGTATAGGAAAGGAACAAGTAGACGCGTCATCGCGGCAAGTGACTACCGCCGTCCATTGATACATTCGACTCAAAAGACACAAATGTGTGGCCAACCTTGAGTACCCCTTCACCCCCGAAACGGGTTTAGCTTCTGGAATGAATTGACTGCACGGATGGCGTAGAGGTTTAAGCAGTCGCCACACCGTTTCCTACTGCGTCGAGTGTTGTGGGTTCAAACACCACATGGGAAGACACTTTGTGTGATCTACAAATTGTTGTTCTGAGTCTTTAACAGTCCACTGCTGGACATAGGCCTCTCCTTAGAAAGGAGGTTTTGGCCTACTATACCACGTTGGTCAGGTGGGTTAGTACAGGGTTTGTGTCAAGCTTTCCTTATTTTTGCAGTGCTGATGACCTTTCGTTGTTTTGCGCCCTTAGTCGCCTCTTACGACACCCACGGGATGAATTGGGGTAGTGACATTCAGTATTCTTAATCCGTCACTACACGGACAATAACAAAGAAATAATGGATTCCAGGATGGCCTAGTGGCTTGTGTAACAGACTGCTAAGCCAAAAGTCGAATTCTCAACATTTGTGCGCTTGGGCCACGCTAAGTCTTCCAGTCCACGCGACTCCAGAACTCTTATCATCATGAATGATCGTTTACAGTGCAGGTGTTTATAGAAACTAATGTAATTGAAAGCGTTAATGAAGAAAAGGCTATCATTAATTCTTCAAGTACTTGCATATTTTGGGAGGATCTTACAGAGAGTACACTACACTAATTCTCTCTGAGATTCCATACGTTAGGTTTGGATCACACTACCGCGAGCCAGTAGTGACAGGTGAAATATTAAATTGTATTACGGAAACATTACAGGTATAGACAATTAATTGGAATAGTAAGTTGACCGATATACTATGTTTAAGCAATAGAGTAATGTTAAAATATTCCGACATAATAAATATTATTAAAGTTCTATTTTTAATGTAATTGGTTGCTTTCATGCTCACACGATTATTTGCACGATACCTATGCCTAAAAACCAATTTAAATATTTTTTGTCTGTTTGTACCGGGTAATCTTCAGAATGGCTGAAGCGATTTTGATAATATTTGACTACCAGGTTGCTGTCTATATAAGGAGTAACTTAGGCTTTAAATTTTTTTCTCTCAGAAAACCCCTATAATATTTTGCCCCGTCCAGAAATCGAACCCAGTAAAGCAGACTACCCTAGACCTGATACTACTGACTAAAGGTAACTGTGAACTGAGCCTAACCTTGTACATTTAGAAATTCAGGAGAATTAAAATAAACAGAACGGTTGGTCTGGCTTGAAACTGGGATTCTCGACCTCGGAACATTGATCACGTATTCTGAGGTCACGTCGTGTGGTTGAGACGATGAATACAACATGATACACATATCAAAAAATTCGATATTCGTAATTCTGATATTGGTATAGAAACTGGGTTTATACGTACCGTCGAAGATGGTAAGAAAGGACTTTGGAATGACTTTACTGTTTTTTTTTATGGTATAAGGGGGCAAACGAGCAGTCGGGTCACCTGATGGTAAGCAACTAACTCCGCACATGGACACCTGCAACTTAAAGGTCACAAGTGCGTTGCTGCCCTTGGAGTCCCTCCCGCTCGAGTCAGCGGGCTCCGTTAACCTCACTCACTCAGTGAAAGACAACGAAAGAATTGCTTAACACCGGTTTTCTGTGAGGCCGTGGTATCACTCCGGTCGAACCGGCCCATTCGTGCCGAAGCATGGCTCTCCCACAGTGAAAACTTTACTGAGCTATAACAGGGTGTTCAAATGGTGGACTAAATGTCTGACCAAATCCAGCTTATTACTTACGTCAATCCCTACCTTAGCTGATTTGGTTACTATAATTTTGCTGTGAAAGAGAAATGCTTCTTCACTCAGGACCCGAATAATATTTAGATATCTAACACACAACGCCATCTCGTTTCAAACTAAGCAAAGCTTGTACTAAGAAAGCTAGATTGACCGAAAGAATACTTAAATCCTTTTTTTTGTAAAAACTTACATATTATACATAGAAAACACCCAAACTCCGAAACAAATATTTGTAGATCATACAAACATTTGGTCCGACCCGGGAATCGAACCCGAGACTTCACAGCAGTCGCATACGCTACCACTGCGCCACCGACGCAGTCTATAGTACAAGTGGTATTTATTACAACAAAAACGCTTTTACATTTGTGCACACTGTCTCTTTTTCTGCCAGAAGAAGACATATGTATGTGTGTTTATATTTTGTGTATGCCTCTGGACTTCAATTATGTTAAATTTAATATTTTATTTTGCACCTACCGCGTCATATTTCTACATCACCTGAAGGTCGACTGGGAGAGAATGCCTTATGGCATTAAGTCCGCCTTCGTACAATATATGTGCATTAAGTTTTATATAAATAAATAAATACCGATAAGAACAAAAGACAAGTATAATATTGGCTTATATTCAAAATAGGCTTGAGAACAACAATCAGAATTGTAAGCAGTTCTAATTTAAATCTATCACCTTAATGAGCGAAGTTAAAGACAACCAGCGCTACAGAGGCCTTTTTTTGTATGAATGCACTAAACGTATATAATTATATTGAAAGTTATTTGAAATATTCAGGTACAAAAATTAACCTAATAAACATTTGAAAGCCCTTGTAAAAATGTTATAACTACAAATAAAACAGAAGGTAAAGCTCGTAAATTGGTTACTTGAACGACTTGACGTTATTACGCGTGAAAAGACTACGTAGTTTTTAATATTAGCAATAGATGGCACTGTAATATATTTTAAGTGATTGGTAAATATTAGTTTGAACAGATTAGTGAAGTTGTAAGATAATTCTTAAATCAAATGGGTAAATGACTATTATTAACATTTTATCCTACACATGCAAAATTTTGTCATTGTGTAATTAGTTCAAGAAAATAGCGATAGATGGTGTTATCAAGTGTTGGGGATGGCCTCTGAAGGATAATTGCGAATGTCACCTAAAACCACCTAAAACTCATATAAACACTTATTATTTTTATTGTATATGTAAGATAAGTATATAATTTTGCCTTATAAGTCTCAGATTCAAAAACTATTTTTAATGAACTCAGGTAAGGGGCGGAATGTGACATTGTGTGACAAGGGGCAGGGGAGAAAATGAGTAAGCGAGGCACCTCAAAGGCCACAAGCGCATTACTACTCCTTGAGTCTCGCCCAGAAATATGGGAAGAGGGATTTGGGCCTCACTTACCCGCCCTGAGGGTATGGGTCCAAATCGTAACACGTTTAAAGCATCCGAGAGTGCTGAAATAGCAAAGTCCAAGAATTCAACAAGAAACAGCTAGCAGAAATACCCTCATGATCTCAACACCTTAGAAAAGACCTATTTCTTAGTGTTCCATGACTCCCCGTGCGGGTGTCGCGTCCTTCGCGTGATAGATGAGAGCAAAACATGCAACTTCGACAGCACCTGAGCATTGCGACCCAGGAATAGGTTTAGGGAATTGTATTTATTTTATTCCGTATCTATATTATATAAAATAATTATTTGTCTATTCGTCTATGTATTTTAAATGGCATTATTAATAATACTGTTACCTTTTTATAGGGTCTATCCTTCTTCATAATACAATTGCATCTGCCATGTCCCTTACTGAATCATCTTAAGGTTTATTGGTAGATAATGCCATGTTGCATTAAGACCGCCTCGTGTAATTCAGGAAGTGTAAACAAATTTAAAAAAAGTTTCTACCAAAGCACGAATCTCTATCTCTCTATCTATATCTCTCCATGCAAGTGATGGTTACCAATAAAATCGATATGTTTAAAAGCACGTGGAATCTTATATCATATTATATCAAACTGCAGCATAATAAGGAGAATCAAGCAAGAAGCAGTTATTGTTTTTGGCCGACATGAGAATGTAGCCGTCTTCTCCCCAGGATTCCCCCCAGGAGTTCTTGACCAGCCAGTAGTTTTAGTCGTTGCGGTGGCCGTAGCCCACGACCGTCACTCCGTGGTTGATGGAAGCCGTTTCGCTACAAAATATAAACATAATCAACATTAAAAAAAGTATCACCAACTTTATGGACCAAAATTTTTTTTATGTTAGGGGGGCAAACGAGGACGAGATACCGGATGGAAAGTGACTAACGCCACCCATGAGCGCCTGCAACTCAGGAGTCACAAGCGAGTTGCCAGCCTTTCAAAAAGGATGCTTTTTCTCATAATCAGTTGTAATAAACTGGAATTTTCATTTCTCAATTTTGCATCCTTATAGATTGTATTTTCTCGTTTAGTCCAATTCATAAATCGTGTCAAAGTACCAATTTATCAAATTGGGAGAATATAGTTGTAAAACCATTGATGAGTGACCACTCATCTGTCCTTAATTTACCATGTAACGATGGTTTTCCTCCACGCAGCTCTTCCTGATCTGAGTGGTTTGTCCATCACCATTCTGAGCAACACTAAGTAAAGGACATCTGAATTAACTTTAGGTCATATAAAAACGAATAAACGTTATTTTTCAATCACTTAACTAAACTTATATTTTTTGTTATTCAGTTATTCAGAGTGACAGGTATATGAATTGCAAATGCTGTACTTACCAAGATAAACAATAAATTAGTAAGAAATATCCCACTTTAATAATGATTCATCAGCATTCAGCATGTATCGCTACTGTTACTGGCCCGTATTTGTACAGAGCTACTTTCAACGTATTGGGGTTGCGAGGAGTGACTTTAGCGAAGCCTTTAATCTTGTATGTATTGGTCATGTTGAAGATATCACAGTAACCATCCTGGGAAAATAACAGGTTTTTACAGGGTACTCTATTTTTTTGGACCAGGAAATTTACTATATCGTGTTATTTTATTTTAATATAAGAGTTAGTTATGTTCTGAATACTAACATGTTCAGTATAGACGCCATAGTCTTTTTCAGTCGGAATGCCATTTGTGAGCACGTATTTCAAAGCGCCATCTAGTGTTCCGCCATTACATCCATTATTGTCGTAGCTGTAACAGAATACCGTTGATGGATGCCGAAATATATTTTTTCATTTATTTCTTTGTATATACTGTTAATTATTCTATACTAGCCTTTGTCTGCGACTTCGCCCGCCTGTATGTTGCTTATCACGGTAAAAAGTAGCTTATGTTACTTGCTGATAATAAAAATTATGTTAACAATGGGAAGCCCCATTGTTGACATAATTTTTAAAATCGGTTTAGTGGTGAAAGCGTAACTAACAAAATACACTAACATAATATAAGTATGGAAGTATTACGTACTTATGGATAGAAAGAACTGATCACGAAGAAGAAAGATTATGAAATAACTAGGATTTTGGAGGTTAAAAAAATGCCGAGGCAACCTAATATAGTTGGGCTAACCGAGCGCACCATCATTTTTACAAATCTAAAATGTGTTATTTCTTAGACTGACGTCCAAGCGCAGTCAATAAGTGACTGTTCACTAAGATCCAATAAACGGTCTCCGTTGATCCTTGCAATAGCACCTTCAACTGCTGCTGTAGTGGAGAAAGCCCAGCACGATCCACACTCACCTTGATCTGAATGGAAATATCAGTTTTTGTCATCATGTTCATCAATTAGAGTTCAGAACATTACAAAGGATTTTGTTTTTTTTTTTCTTTCAGCCCTCGTAATAATTTTCAAATAGGACAGAGAGGTAAATTGGAGTAAAGAAACGGATAGGCCCAGGGTGCTAAGGTTATCAAGGCAAGTCTCAGATCGGGAACAGAGCTGAGACTGAAATAGTTCTAAGATAGCAAGGAAGGAAGACTTAATAGGAACATCAAATGATGATTCAGTTAAAGCGAATATTTAAATAGGAAACATACGAGTTTCTTTTAGAAAGTGTTAGTAACAAAATAATAATGTAAAAACAACAATTGTCATTGTAGTGTATAGGGAATGTGCTTACTCGTACGTATCTGTGCAACGTGTGTGTTAGTCTAAATTTCTTGGGGAGATAAAAGTTAATATGAAATCAAAAATGCTTATATTTGATTAGTATTGCCATATGATCTCTTTCTTTCTCTTTGTACTCCTTTGAGTGGTGTCTAGTATAACTATCGAATGCGACGTCAACTTCTTGTGAGATACCAGGGTGGAGCATCTGAATATCAGTTTTGGAATGATCGCCCAGCTCTCCAGCTTTACTGCAAAACGCCACTAAAATTTTAAAATTCATTAGATTGATATTTAAAAATATTTTTTTATTTATTTTAAACTTAATGCACATGTTGTACAAAGGCGGACTTAATGCCATTAGGCATTCTTTCCCCGAAAAAGGGGCGGATCCCGTTCGTAGAGGACGTCGACGGCGCTATTAGCCGTTGACGGGGCCGCAGGCTGCCAGAGAGTGGGGACCTCTGGTGGCAGATTAACTGCTGCGGTAGTCGATAGGATGGCGACCTGAAATAACATGTCCTGAGTCCGGCCGTCAGGGTGGTTTTTAGTACACATATTCCTGGCTCCTACATCCCCACGGAGCCGGAGATCCGAAAGGATTTTCCACCCCGTCAACCTTCAGGTGATGTAGAAATATGATGCGGTAGGTGCAAAATAAAATATTAAATTTAACATAATTGAAGTCCAGAGACATACACAATATATAAACACTCATACATACATAAACCTATATAAACTTAATAAAATTAATTAATTATAGTTTGTGCCAGTGTCTAAATATCTACCTTGCATTTTTAATTCTTCTTCGGATGCTGTGTCATTAAAGTTATAATAGTTGTTGACAAAATGAGTTACAACTTTGCCCAGGTCTGTATTGTAAACTTTGATGGCATACCTGGAAATAGAAAATTTTGAAAAATATTAAGTATACAACATTTTCTAGACAAACTAAACACAATTACTCGTAGACCTCTATGGGAATTCAAAAAACTTGAGGATTGTAACGTCTATTAGTTTCTATTCCCTCTTAACCTATTCATCTCTAGAACTTAACCTGTTATGAATACCATCAAACTTTAACCTGTTCTACTTTAAATTGTACTAACATAAAAAAAACACATTAATTGCAGTGATGTCCCTTGGAGGTTATGTTTTGTCCCTCTGTGGCTCTACAAATACACGCACCTTAATAAGGTATACTTTTATTATAACAATAATATTTAGACATCAAACATACAACGCCATCTAGTTTAAAACTAAGCAGAGCTTGTAGTAAGAAAGCTGTAGTATACCTTTTAATTCGATTCCAGATTTGACAATTTCAGTGTTGCAACGTTATGACAAGTACTAAATAGTGACGTTGCGAAATTACTCGATACGGAAATGGAATATTTTCAGATGGATTGCTCTTCCTTCCTTTATAGTAGTATATCTAAACAACTACTGCTTTAATAGAAACTAAGTATATCAGGCAATTAAATATTTCTGAACGGATAATTTAGTTATGACGATTAATTTTATTAAGGATCTGAGAGTTTTCTTTAATAATTGTGTGTGAAATAAATAAAAAAATGAGATCATGAAGAAACATGAGAAATAAAAGAAATAGATGTATTATGTATGGTAATATTTTATTTTATAAATCGTCGCCGTCATCGCTATCGCTGTCACTTTCTGTAACATTTATTATAAATGTGTCTGTGATATTGTCAATTAACATATCTAGAATACTCATTTTTTCCTCTTCTTTGACAACATGGGATACGCATTTAGACCATTCGGTAGCCGTAATTTTTTGAATGCCCTCCTCAAATAAATTTCGCACGTCTGAGGTAAACAGAGGTGTATAGAGGTAAACAGATTATTTGTTTGTTTGGTTGAACGCGCTAATCTCAGAAACTGCTTGTTCGAATTGAAAAATCTTTTAGTGTTGGATAGCCTTTTTATGGAGGAAGGCTTTAGACTATATAACATCATGCTACGATAAATAGGATCGTAGCATCAATGTTTTTTTGTAAAAACAGGGAAAATTGTTTCTTTTGAGAGATGCACGCGAATTAGCTCATCAGCTGGTATTAGATAAACTATTATGAGCCAGAACAAATGATTATACTCATCACATAATTATTTGGCCTGGGTGAACATCCAATACACGACTTCTGGTTTAGTTGGGAGTACCACTAACTACCGCGCCAACCGGCCTATCAAGCTGTAATGGATCGCGTTAAACTTTGCGTAGTTTAATAACTATTCTGATAAGCTATTATTAATTATAATAAACCTATAATAAATACCATTTTGTTATAAACCCGTGGCCCTTATTGTTTTAATATTTCATAATAATGTTAATTAGATAAAAATTATCGAACGTCATAAGTCGTTATATTTTAATCAATATCTATATATGTATTAAAATTCTGATAATTTTAATGAGTGCCTCTAATATATTAATTAAATAATAAAGCTCTCTATAAACCGTTATTACCGTTTGAGGTGTTCCGGTCGATCCTGTACAAAACATGAACATCATGAATCATTAACAAAAGGAGGCAAACGAGCAAACAGGTCACCAAACAGGTATCGTCTGCGTAACAGATTACACCCAGCCCGGGGGGGAAATCGGCGCGAAGGGCCCAGTCGTACCCTATGTTCCACAAGAGGGGTCCAAGAACAGACCCCTGTGGAACACCGCACGACATGGGCCGACACCTCAAATTACCATCTCGGTCCTCTTACACGACGGTACGCTCCTCTAAATAGTCTGCCACTAGCCGCCTCAGGTACTTTGGCACCCCATGATAGTGGAGTGCTTCCCTGATGCAGCTGAATGGCAGACTATTGAATGCGTTGGCGATGTCCAATGACACCGCCAACAGCACGCCGCCACAGCTCACAGCCTCTTCGGTCACGGCCCTCAGGCGCAAAACAGCGTCGACTGTCGAACGCCCCGCCCGAAAACCAAATTGGGCGTCCGACAGATCGGGGCCCACCTCGTTTGAAACAAACCCTACACCAACCCGTCTGGCTAGCGTGGTATAGTGGGCCAAAACCTCAATTCTAACGAAAGGCCTATGTCCAGCAGTGGACTGTTAAAGGCTGGATGTGATGTGAGTGAGGTTGTGAGAGGCTCAACACTCAAGGGTACATCTAAAGAGGAGTAGAGTTGCAGGTGTCCATGGGCGTCCGTAGTGACTTATCATCAAGGTGACCCGTCTGCTCGTTTGCATACCGTAAAACAAAATATGACATTAGCAGCCTTTTCCAGCTTTTATAAAACATGATGATGACCAGCACTCGCTTTCTTTTTACTAACTTTTTTCTACGTTCTCCTTGCCTCAACTTACATTTTTACTTTAGAAACGAATTTCCTGTTTGTTAAGGAGTTTTCCAATGAGATGAGGACAAAAGAGAATATGGTTATCTAATAGTATGTAACTACCTCTGTCTGATGGTAATTAACTGCCGATCTTTACCTCCCGACCTTTACACCACAGGTAGGTGTTTATACTTGCACTGACCAATTTTATAGACTGATTTCTTTTTAGTAAAATTCTTATTTATAACAAAGTACCATCCATATCATAGTATTCAATGAACGTGTTTCACATTACGAAAGCCCAACGTGAACACGGCTTTATATTTATCACTGTTTCCCTATAAAAGTACATTTTTTGGAAATACTGGCTAATCTCTTAGTTTAGTTGTAGTAAGTGCAACACAATGGCGGTTCTTCCAGCCATTTTTGTTTTAATTTTTTGTGTTAACTCTATGTCCAGCCACGTCTTATTAAGTAAGTGAATAATAATAATCTATACTAATATTATAATAAAGCTGAAAAGTTTGTATGTTTCTTTGGTTGCACGCATTAATCTCGCTAACTACTAATTCAAATTGAAAAAATCTTGGAGTGTTGGATAGACCATTCATTGAGGAAGGTTATATACCATCACGCTTTGACCAATGGGAGCCGAGCATCAATAAATAATTAACAAAAATGATTCCTTTTGCTCTCATAAGGAATATTTTTTTCCCGTTTCTGCTTACCTCCCCCTCGCAACTTCTGCGCGTCAGCTAGTAAGCTTAATTCTTCAAATAATCTTAAGCATTCAGAATGTAGAAAAATCTTCAAAAAAACTTCTGAAAACTAGGAATTAAACTATGGGATCACTATAAATTAGTGTTAGCGCTATAGGTGTAACAGCTGCCTTTTTTGAAATCCCCTCGGATACCACCTTTCGGTGGCATGTCGGACTCGAACCGACTAAAACCGCACGCCGTCTCGGATACTAATAGCCGGGGAACCAAGTATACTCTAGAAAGGAAGTCCCTGGTGCCTGCTGCCTAAGTACAGCCTAGGTCACACCCACAAGTCAAAGTGTGTAGGTAGTTTTTGGATAGCTGAGGGTCGTTGTCGTAGTCTTGTGTATTTTTACATCGTAAGATGGCTATAAACTACTATTATCTTGACATTTCCATAAGCCACTAATCTTTGATAGAAAACATATAATAATATATAGATGGGCTTATTCCATAGCCCTATTCCCGTCCAAAGGTGAGAACCGTAACTATGGAGTACATTTTGCCAAAATTCTTGGTAAAAATACAGCTTGTTTCTCTGTCACGTTTATTATATACTCGTATTTCAAACACGCTCGCTAGTTACGAGTTCTTCTTTATATTTTCATAAAAAAATGGCAAATGATGGGATATTTACTTAACTTTTAGGGTTCGTTATGAGAGAAAACAATTAATTTCTATGTAATAATTTCTGCTGCCCCCATAGATGATGAAGAACATGAAATAGAATGGCCGACGGAGTACCACTTCACTGGCGAGAATATCAATTTTGTTACCACCCTGAAGACACCCTTTGAGATATGGTAAGAAAATAAAGTCATCCATAATTAGATTCACCACACAAAGGCTTTTTGGAACACCCCTAACGGGGTTAAATAAATGAATGGACGGTAGTATCGAAGTTCGTTACTTTCACAGTTAGAAAAATGGAGAAAGAAAAAAATCACGTGATCGAAGCCAATAGCTAGTATGTTTTATAAAAGCTAGAAAAGGCCCAAAATCATATTTTGTTTTACGGTATGCAAACGTGCTCTTTTGCATACCGTAAAACACGGGTCACCTGATGATAAGTGACCACCGACGCCTATGGACACCTGCAACTCTACTCCGCTTTGTGTACCCTTGAGTGTTTAACCTCTGACAACCTCACTCATATCACATCAAGCCTTTAACAGTTCACTGCTATACATAGGCCTCTCTTTA